AAGAAATAACGTATATAATATACTGGTTAGACATAAAAAATCCAACTAAAAATAACATATATAATATATTGATTAGACATATAATTCTATATTTTTCTGAATATGGAAAAAGTTGATTTTCAGTATCTAATATACAGAAATACTAACCAAAAATAAAGTATATAATATACTTATTAGACATATAAAATCTATGTAAAATTATGTATACAATATATTGATTTAATATATAAATTTCATATTTTTTGCATATGAAAAAAGAATCTAGTATAGGAAATATTTACAAATTTATTATACTATCTTCTACATATATTATATGTTTTTAAATATATTATTTCTATATATTTTTCTTATACAAATTATTTAAAGAGTAGAATATGAAATGTTTTCAGGTTTGGTATCATATAATGTAAAAACTATGATTTCTGCAAAAAATTTGGTCTATAAAGAATTTAAAACTATAATTTTCATTTAATGTATTTTCTATTATATTAATCTTATTACTACATATATTTATAAATTAGAATTTGCAGATTCCTTTTTAAAGAAATATATGAAATTGATCTGATATTTTAAAACTTCTTATCAAGCTAGATATTATTTACAATAAAAAATTATAGAAAATAATATTCAAGGTAGTGATCTAAAATTTTATTATAAAATAAGGTGAACAATAGCTTGGGATTGCACATTTTTTTTAAATGTAAAGACATTTTAAAAAAAGTTAATATTATAATATTTATCAAATTTTTTTTTAATTAATTAAATTTATTAAACTAGATCATAGATGAGAATTCAGAATATATTAAAAAAGATATTAAAACTATTATCAGATGATTTTTTTAATCTTAAAGAATTGAAAAAAATATTAAAGCTAATAAAAGAAGTCATAAAATATTTGAAAATAAACAATAATATTAGCAGATTATTTTTTGTTAGTTAAATAAATTATTAATTTTAATTAAAAACTTTCCTAAATCAATATTATCTTTTTACTAAAATTATATTGTTACCTTTAATAAAAATTGGAAATAATTTGATTTTAACTTATATATGTTAGCTTATCTTCTTTACTCACAATATCATATTATATATTTATATATTTTTATATTAAATTAAATATTAAGTAAATTAGTTATTTATTTTATTTTTTATCTAATTTAATAGAAAATGATTGATTCCAACTATTTGTATTTCATTATATAATCTATTGGATTATTAAAAATATTTGATTAAAAATGGAAGTAGGTAAGTCAAATACAAGTACAAAGTTGATTGTGCAATTAATTACTTATCGTAAAAGGAGATCAATATATGATGATGATTTTATACCTGTTTGTTATTCAATTGAAAATTGGTAGAAATTAATAAAACAGCAATAAAAATTATATACAATAATTTGCTATAAAAATACTATTAATAACTCTAAAAATGCTAGTTATGAAAGAATATTTTCAATTTTTAGATGGAATATGAATAAAAAAAGAAAAGATAATATTTATCTTAATTTTTATATTTATCAAAATTATAAAATATATCTAATGCTAAATAATTTTAGGTTAAGTGTGAAAAATTGCAAAATATTGTTAAACTTCATGTTTATTATATCTCAAATGTTAAAAAAAAGCTAAAATTTATAGCTCAAAATATGAGTGATAATGATATTTATAATATTATGCAAAATATATTTTCAGATGAATTTGAATTAGATGAAATTGATAGAAGTAAAAAATATGTATGTTAAAGATGGCACTGTAATTAAGAAGTTGCAACTCGGTAAGTTACAACTTGGGTTGCAACTGGTTGCAACTCCTTGTAAAATTTATTTTAATATAAAAATTTATAAATAGTTGCAACTTAATGAGTTGCAACTTAAGTTGCAACTAGTTAAAAATTTTAAAATTAATTACAGCTCCATCTTTAATGTATATTATGTTTTACTATACACAAATAAATATTTACTTTTATTAAAGTTATGATAAATTTTTAAAATTGCCTAAATTTTATTTATAATATTGACTATTATTATTCATAATCGTTTTTTATATAGTTTCAAAAATTTAAATCTAATTTTTTTTTAAAAACAAAAATAAATTAAACTGTTACTTAAAAATTATACAATTAAATATAAATAGATTCTTCAAAATAACTTTTTACTATAATTGAAGTAATTTAAGATAAATATAAAATTGTATACTTAAGATTATCATAAATTTTCAATAAAATCTCTATATATTTTAAATCAAATTTTAAATGATAAAAAAGCAATTTCAATAGAATTAAATTATAAAGAATATGAGGTAATTATATTATTTTTCTTTTAACAGATTTTACTGATGCTTCATCATGATGAATTCTTATATTATTTCTAATTATCATACTATTTTTACCAGAAAAAGGATTCATTTAAGATATCTAAAATTATTAAAATATGGGGCCTTTGCAATAGAAAGGAGGAAACTGCCGGAAAAAATTAATTTTACTTTTATATGCCAAATATAATTTTTAGGCTGAAATATGTTCAAATTTAGCATTAACTTATTTTTTATTTTTCCAGCAGCTTCCATCCTTTCTATTGCAAAGGCCCCATATGTTAATAATATAAATTAATTAAATTAATTCTTTTATATACAGTTAAAGATGATTCCTCAACCTATTTTCAAAAATAGTTGTGGTTGCAACTTATATAAAAATATAGAGTTACAGGTTGTGATTAGTAAGGCCTAGTTGCAATGCTATTTTTATATATAGTGAACTCTTAATATAATGAATCTTAGGATCTAAATTTTAACTTTATTATAAGCTTATAACGAATTTAATTGGCTGATTCATTATATTAAGATATATTTAATATATTTGATTTAAAATTTCGCTATATCAAGGATGCATTATATCAAAGTTCAATTGTATTAACTTTAAAAATAATTTACCACTTAATTCACAATAAATGTTTGAATTTTTCTTTATTATAACTTGCTTCAATAATTTCAGCTGTAATAAATCTATTTAATATTAAAGCTGATAAAGATAGTAGTATACTTATTATCCCTTGCAAATACAAATGATTTTCTTGCTTTTGTATTAATTACAAAATATTTATAAGCTCTACTTAGACTTTATTCATTTTTGATCATTTCATAAAATTAATTGTTCAGAACTAAATTCACTTATTTTTAATGTAAATCTACTTCTTAATAATTCTGTAACTATAATTATAAATACTATCAATTATATTTATTTAATTAAAGGATTAGATACTATTTTATCAGTTCTTTAAACCATTTCATAAACTAATTCATTTAAAAACCAATCAACCTTTTCTTTAATAAATTCTTGTAATATCTATTATTAAAAATTATATAATAAATAATCATTTTAAAAATTTAAAAGAAAAAAAACTCATTTAAAAATTTGAATACCTTCATATCATATGTATTAAATGTTTCCTTTCTACCTTGATTTCTATAAAATAAATCAATAGTATAACTTCAATATTTATAAATTTTATTAACAATTCCTATGCTAATGTATAATCTTTTTGCAGTTTCCTTTTGTATGTATCTCATTCATAATATAAAATACAACAAATTTATTGTAGAAAAAAGTTTCAATATAAGCTACATGCTATTACCTCAAAATTGAAATTCACATAATTTTGTAACCTGTAATTTGATTAAATAAAAAAAATAAAGTTTTTATGTTAGTAATTTTATAACATTTTGCAAAAATGGCTAATACTAATTTAATTATACCTCCCTGTATATAATCTTTTTTTTAAGCGAATTATTATTTTCTTTCACAAAATGTAAAAACATACAAATTTGGTGATACATTTATTTTGACTGTTTTTTTTAATTAACATCAATATACTTAATGTGAATATTTTTTTTTAGTTAAAACATTCATGTAACAAATATAAAAAGAATGCCTTTAGGCATACTTTTTTTTTTTTTTTTTTAATTTTGATGGTTTATTTATCTCCTGAAAAAAAGGGCTAGGAGCCAACAGTAATAAGAATTAACAACAAAAAGATACCAATAAAATCCGAACGTCCTAGATACCTGACAGGTCGAAATGAACGAAATTTTTTGCGTTGCAATTCAAAAAAATTGAATTTAGTGAAAATAGGACCTTACATCGAAATGGATTAAGCTCAAGAGTCAAATGTAAAAACAATTATTCACAAAACATTTCATCATCTTTTTGACCATAATAAGATAATATTTAGTCAATGAGATGCATCTAACTTCAATGGGTGGAAAGCTATTAACATTTTACAGTTTAGAAACGTTTAGTCTATTTGGTTGTGACATCCTCGTTATTAAAAATTTCCATATTATAATGATAATTTAATCTAAAATTTTAGATTTATTAATAAAAAAAAAAAATATTAAAATATATCCGATTAAATTTTAACTATAAAGATTACAAACATTAAAAATGTTAAAAACACTTCATTGTATATTTAAAAGACAATTATTAATTAAATGGTAAAATAATATAAAATATGCTAAGTATGCAAAAACCGCTTTAGAAAAAAAAATAATGACAAAAATTACAAATGTAAACAAAAGAAAAAAAACTTATTACACATAAAAATCTCAGAAATAATTCAAAACCAATTGTTCAATAAATGTCAAAAAGATGGAAAAATTGAAAATATGACCTGAATAAAAAATGAATTACACCATAAAAAGAAATCTAAAAAGTAAATACTATGAAAGTTTTTTAATAGATTATAGAATCGAAATAACAAAAATAATTTACAAAAACTGTCTTAGAAAATCCTCTTTACATCCGATGTAATTGTTTATTTTTCAAGATCATTGAAGTAAATAAGGACATACTATACTAAAATCTATGATGACGTAATATATCTACCATCAGTAAAGTCAAGTTCATCGTCAAATATTGTTTAAAAACGATGTAAACCATTTAATCATCTGGTTCCGTTCCATTTAAATCATTTTTTGTATATTCAGCCGGTGTACCGGGCGGTGTGGTTAAGTTCAAAAGACTTGATTCCCGTGGTGGTGGAGGAGCAGGAACTTTTAAAGTAAATTCTGGTTCCTCAACCATCGTTATTTCAAGTTCATCATCGTTTTGACTTGATAGATTTTCTCCCACCTCAGAAGGTGTTCTTGAAGGTTTCTTCGCGGAAGCTAATTCGGAACTTTTAATTCCAAGTGTGTTTAACATAGAAGGTAATGCTCCTAACCTTGCATAAAACATTTGTAAACGTAACCTTAAACATTCAGCATAAAGGTCAACAATTGGCCTATTATTATATAGGCCTTGACGAATGTTACGGATAAATACATAAAATTCACAAACAGCCACCAATCTATCACGACAATAACGATCGATTAAAGACCAATCGTCTAAATTCGTAATACGGTACATAAAAGGTAAAGGACCAACTCTGCCACAACATTGACAGCCTGTTCTAGGAAAAGCTGCATTTCCTGCAAGTCGTTCCCATAACATTGGCTTTGAAGCAGAGTTACGAACAGGAAAATTTGTATGTAAAGCTAGTTCTTTTTCGGCACCGGGTGGAGATTCTTCAATAAAACAAGTATTTGCAACAATAGCTTCAACTATCCTACGGGAAGAAACACGAGGATTACTTCCAAATCTCATACAAGGATCCACATCTTCTTCTAAACTATGACGCATGAATGGAATCGAGTGAATTTTTTGAAGTTTCACAGATGGACTTTGTTCAACGAATTCTTGAAATTCTATAATTAATTCATTATCAATACCAATTCCATCAACACCCGTAGGAGCGGGTAAAGTAGCAGCAGCATCAGGAGACCTTTCACGTAATCCAAATAATTCAGCAAAATCAATGCTTGCTCTGAAAGAAGGATCGCTTGAACTTGATCTTCTACTTTCTGATTGTGGTTGATTTTGCACTAATTGTTCCATTTTTTCTCTCAATTCTTTAAGTTGAGAACTTTCAGCCATTAGACGTTCTTTCGTTTCCTTAAGTTGTTTTTCTAACGCTTTTTGTTGAATTTCTAAATAATATCTTTCCCTTGCAGCCGTTTCAACCATTCCATTAGCTTGTTCAAATAAACTTCTGCTTAATTCTTCCAATTCACCTTCAACCATATCTTTAGAATGTTGTAATTCTGCAACCTTATCAATCTCATCAACATATTTTTCATTTAATATGGCCATATCTTTTTGTAAAGCATTAAATTCATCAGTCTTAGCATTATAATCATCAGTTTTTTCATCAATTTGATCTTCCAATTTTTCAATCATTTTACGTAATTGCTCAATTTCATCGTGTTGGCTTTCTACTTTGTCAAATTCTTCTTTTATTTTATTATTAGCGATTTCTAAATCATCACGTTGCTGTAAATTTTGCTTATGTAAATCTGCCAATATAGGTATAACTCTCTCACATTTATTACAAGTAGCTGTTCCAGGAGTAATGCTTAAGCCTTGGCAATAACATTCTTCTAAATTATCTTCACTTTCTGATCTTCCATTTTCATAAGCATCAATTGCTGAATTAGCGGGTGTACATGTGCCATTATCCAATGAACCTATTTCATCGAATTCTTTAGGTTCAAACTTAATGCTCGGTATAGAACCTGTGCTAGGTGTTTTTGGACCAAGTATTGGAGATTCCATATTTTTTTCAATGGCTGCATGTATTCTGGCATGAAATTTTTCAAAGTCTCTTGTGATATCTTTGGTTCCATTTGTTACAAGATTTGTAGGTGTTTCAGTCTCGGTCATAACGATATATTATGAAACAAAAAAAAAAATAAATTAATTAAAAATTAAGGAATATAATACTATTTTTAAAAGATTTACGAAAATTATATACATGAATTTATTTTTATTTTTTTTTGTTTAATGTAAAGCAAAGCAGAAACAAGAAAAAAAAAAAGGAAAGGAACAGTCAGTAAATTATACGTTAATAATAGATCTTAACCAAAAAGCAAAAAAAATAAAGTCTTAATTCTTACCAGTTTAAATTATAAATTAATATAAAAAGGAAGGAAAAAGATTTATTTTTGTTTTTTTATTGAAAGAGTATTTTTACAAAAGGCAAAAAGAACAAATGTGAACTGTGATTAAATTGACATTTTTTTCAGGAGTCGAATCAATCAAATATTTTGGCAATTAACGAAATCGTTAAGTGTCGCATCCGTTGTGACCTTTTTTTAAGCCCATTTTTTTTTTTTTTTTAGCTTCCAGGAATGATTATCAATTCTAAATTAATTCTTTTTTTTTCACTCGATAACTTCCACTTTAATTGTTTTAATAAAGATTTTCATTTTTTAAGAAATAAAGTTTTTATATATTTATCATGTCGCCATGGTGTTTTACAGTTATTTATCACTTATGTGACATATAATGGTGACAAATAGAATTACACCAACAAAATCCAAAGTGGCAAAATATTTGGAAAAACTTGAAACAGGATGAGTGTGATGCGAACGACAGTTCCTTATGACCTTAATCCTACGTTTGTGATTATTTACTATTTATTATATAAGAAATCGCAGTAACGCCGTCTCCGAATGTTACATCATAAGTTAAATAAGTCAAAGATGATTGGTTACTAAAATCGATCATTCCAGAACTTTAAAAAAATTTACTTTATTCTTTTAGCCAATTTTTAGATTTAATATTATTTTTAATAGAAAGGGGAGAAACTGCCGGGAAAAATAAAAAAATGAGTTAATGTTGCATTTGACTTATTTTAGTCTAAGAATATATTTGGGCATATAAAAGTAAAATTATTTTTTTTTCCCGGCAAAGGTTCCATACTTTTAATAAATTATATTAAAAATTTTTTTTATTAAATAATATATGTAAACAGATATTTTATAATAAAATGAAGAAAAAAGGACAATTCTAATTTTTGATTAAATAAAGGTTATTATAACCTATTTTTTTTTTTGATTTTACTTAAAATTTATTATTTTTTTTATAAATATTTTATTTTAAAAAATGTGTATTAAAGCTGAATTTTATATTAAAATTTATCAATTATTTCAGAATTTTAAATATTTTGTATATATAAAATTGCAAATAAATATAATAAATAAAAAAAAATTGTATATTAATATTATTATAAAAAATGTAAACAAATTTGAATTTTTCAAATAATATTACAGTTGAATCTTGATATAGGGTTTTGATCACAACTTCATTATAAGATTATAATGAAATTTTTAAAGAATTTAATTGGCTGATTCGTTATAACGAGATAAATTTAACATATTTAATTGGTAAAAATTCGTTATATTAAGAGTTTACTATATCAAGGTTTAATTGTATTAGGTTACAAAATATAATTTACTTTATTGCAAATATTAATTTAAACTTTAATAAAAATTTAGGTTGCAGATTTACTTAATAAGTACTTAGATATTTAAAGATAATTTATTTTGATAAAAGTATTTGAAATATTCTTTGAATATATTAAATAGAAATAATAAATTTTTGATTTTAAAAAAATAATATATATATGTATATAATTATATCATTTATTGAAAATAATGATAATATCTTAAATTAAATACTTTTATTATATTTATAAATTAAATCAAAAAATAAATTTAATAAGATAATAAGATAAATAGGATTAGTATTAAAAATATAATTCAATTAAAAAAAAGTTATCAAAATTGGAATTTAAAGCTATATCTTATAAATGTAAAATATTTTTGAATTGATAAAAAAAAAGATTTATGATTAAAAAATATCTGAAAATATTACAATATTCTCAGAATTTATTACAATATTAACAGATTTATAAAATAAAATAAAAAAGTTAAGTTGATTTATTTTATTGATTATTATTTTTAAACAAAAAAATTTTTTTTTCTTTTATTAGATCTCCTTTTTATAGATATATTATCTTATTATTATTAATAATTTAAACCTTTATATATCAAAATTATTTAAATTAGATAAGGATTTTTTTATTTCAACTTTATACATTGTTTGTCCATATTTATGCTTAATTATTTATTATTCTGCAACAAATAAAAAATAAATAAAAAATAAATAACTTTTTTGATACAGTTGCCGATCTTGTTCCTCGTGATCAAAAAGGCCGTATTTTACCAAATTTAGTTTTGGGTAAAGTGTTTTGGTTGCAAAAAAAATTGTCATTCAAAAAAAAAAAAAAAAAAACAAGGGAATGGGTTTTTTTTTTCTGTCTGATTATAATTTTTCCTATCATCCCCCTTTTTAATCATCATTTTATTTTTTTTACAATTACGGTTTAAAAAAAAAAATGAGCTTGCCTAGCGCTGACGAACTTGAACAAAATCCAGACATCGGTCAGTTTTAATATTTTTTTTTGATAATTTTTTTTTCATAAAGGACCTTTGTATTTATTTTGTTTTTATTTATTTTTTTTTTAAAAAAAAAAAGAAAAACAATGGGCGGTCAAAGCTGTGAACCACTCAGAGACATACTATAAATTAATATCAAGTGTCGACGGAAAATCCCTTCGATTAACACCGTATTTAATTTTTTTTTTTTTTACAAAATAATATGAAATTGTTTTTTCGACCAAAAAATGAAAATTTACTTTCATATATTATATAGCATTGACGATGAAATTTATCAAGATTTTCAAGATACCTTTCCGAATATATCATTACAGGTCGTGGACGAAGATGCTATGAAAAGTGATGAGGGAAAAGTAATTTGGAGAAATTGGATCATGAAATATGAGAACCGCGTTAATGATTATAATTTTGGCACTTTGTTAAGAAGAAACGTTAAGGATGATTATAATGAAAAAAACACAATGTTTGGTAAGTATTTCCCCCCTTAATTTATAAGGTTACACGTGTATTGTTGGTTTAACTTCTCGCTCATCTTTTACCTTGGATTATAGTTACACGAATGCAGGTATGGTGATTTTTATTATACTCGCCACACTTTCTTTTTTTGTTCATTTTATTTATTTTATTTTTTTTAGTTTTATGCAATTGAAATAGCAAGAAATAAGCAAGGGTTGAATTCATATTTGGTTCAAAAGACATGATAAGGATTACCGTGTAACATTAAAGATTATCCGAAATAATAAAAAAGATAAAAATTTTTTTTTCCATAAATATTTTTAATTATTTTATTCAAATAAAATGTTACATTCTATAAATTTTTTAACTTCTTTACGACCCATCATTTCACATTCGAATTTATTGCGAATATCCATCTATCCATTAAAATGTGACTCAACTAAATTGATTGTTCGATCATATTTAACCTTTTTACAAGCACCGGCGAGAAAATTAGACTTGGGCAATTTAAGTGATAACCGTAAGGCAACTCAAGAGGTGAATGTTATAAACTAGTTCGAGAATGTAAAATTTTATTTCCGTATTCGATGATATCTACGTACGTGGTGTTTGAACTTTACCAATTTTAGAATATTAAATACGCGTATTTTTAACATGATTTTTGTTTAGAAAAGACGTTTAGGTCGTGGTCCAGCTTCGGGTAGGGGTAAAACCTGTGGTAGAGGTCATAAAGGTCAAAAAGCTCGTACCGGAAATGGTAAACCAAGGAGAGGTTTTGAAGGGGGACAAACTCCTCTCAGTAGACGTTTTCCCAAAAGAGGGTTTAATAATCCGTATGTAAGATTCAAGTATTCCATGAACTATTCACTTGAATGAAAATGTATCTTCTTTCTTTTCATTTTTTAGATTTGAAAAGACCTGGGCGCCTTTAAATCTTGATAGACTTCAACATTGGATTGATAATGGAAGAATTGATCCAACACAACCAATTACGATGAAACATCTATTAGATACAAGATGTGTAAGAGGCATTAAAGACGGAGTTAAACTATTAGCTGATGTAAAATGTTCAATCTCAATTTTTATTTATTTTTTTGTCTATAAAAAAAATATATTTTTAAAAATTATTTTTCTTTTATAAATAGGGTAGGGAACACTTCAAAACCCCAATTACAATTGAAGTGGCACGAGCTTCTCAAAAAGCTATAAAATCAATCGAGTCAGTTGGAGGAACGATCACTTGTAGATATTTTAACAGATTAGCTTTGAGAGCTACAATTAAACCTGAAAAATTTTGGAAAATACCAAAATTTGCTACTCCCATGAAACAACGTGATATTGGTAAATATGATCACTTTTACTGTATGAATGCTTTACAAGCAATAAGCAAAAATTTATCTTTTTTTTTTCTTTTTGTTATAAAAGCTTGGTATTCGGATCCAAACAATAGAGGTTATCTCTCTCAATCAGAAAATTTAAAAGAACGAGTCTTTTAATTCACGACGTTGAAAACATTTGATAATTAGAAAAAAAAAGAAATGCTCGTTAATTATAGATCCAAATTAAAGGCAATATGTAAAATTGTTTTTCTTTTTTTATTTTAATTTTTTTTTTTTTTTTTTTTTTTTTGGGAATTTGCCTTTTTTATGAGAACTTTTCTTTCTTTCTTTCTTTTGGTAATAAAAAAATTATATATCAAGTAATTTTCTTGGCCACTATTATTATTAATCATTACGAAGAAAAATAGGGTATTAAGTAATAAGATAGAACGATTCTTTGTATCCTAATGAACCAAAAAAAAAGAGAGAAAAAAATTTTTTTTTGTTGATCATAAACGAAAACACTGAGAAAAGGTTATAATCGGAAAGAAAATGACACAAGGGAGAATGGAAAAAAATTTACAAATATAATGCAAGAATATTAAAAGAAGGAAAATTGTAAGAATCAAAAATTATATATGTATAATTTTGTATAATTTGAAGAGTAAAAAATATATCATAAAATGATTTGTTTTTTCTTAACGTGGAAAATGTTTTGATTGATCCATTAAAAAAGGGTTAAAGAAAAAATAAAAATTATTAATCAAAGAACAATTTAAAGGGACGGGAACCAAGAGGCTCTTTTTTTTTTTTTTTTTTTTTTTGCAAGCTTATGAAAATGGACTTGTATGGAAAATGATTTTTTTTTTAAAAAAAAAAAAAAAAGCGAGAAACAAGTGCGTCAAATAGCACATAACTTGTAAGAATTATCACTGCAGAATAAAAAAAAAAACTAATTACTATATTCAGGAAAAAATTTATAAGGAAATGGAGGGGTCTGAAATCACATTTGGAAAAAAAATAATGGGAGGAAAATTAATTACATTACATACAAGAGATAACCCGAATAAAATATGCAAAATATTCCGCATATTTAACAAACTTGTGAAAAAAATGAACAAAGGAATAAAATAAACAAAAAAAGTAAAAAACATATACACTCAAATATTACTTTTCATTGTCGAAAAAGTATCAGAGAAAAAAAAGATTATTCAAAACTTGCAAATGTGGAAAGAGTTCTCGATCTTTTATAATTATCACGTCTATCCTACAATATTTCAGGTGACCCAAATCATTTTCAAGAAGCAGCTTTAACACTCATACTACCACTTCTTGCATTAGTGTTCCTCATGCGTGGGTTTTGATGATTTTGATGATTTTGATGGTTCTGATGGTTCTGATGGTTCTGATGACTTTGATGAGATTGATGAGATTGATGAGATTGAAGAGATTGATGACTCTGAGTGCGGATAATTTGATTATTATTCTGTTGTTGAATCTGAACATCGTCAAGTGCACTTGGAGCAACATATAATCGCTTGTCAATGACGGGCGGAATTGGTTGAATCTCAGTACCGAGCTCTTGTTCAATCTTGTAAAGATTAAAACGATCGTCGTAAGTGATGAGATTAATAGCAAGTCCAAGATGACCAAACCGTCCGGATCTACCAATACGGTGAAGATACGTTTCGGCGTTCTTTGGGAAATCAAAGTTGATTACAACATTAACCGCTTGTATATCAATACCACGAGTAAGTAAATCTAATTAATTTACGAAATGTAATGAAATGAAGCATTTCCGTTAATTCGATTCATAAAAAATTTATCACATCATCACATTAATATTTAGAAGACATACCAGAGCATACCAAGTTGCGACAAACACCGTTTCTGAAATCGTGGAAAACACGATTACGATGACTTTGTAACATTTTTGCATGGCTATAAAAACACGAATACCCAAGCTCGGTTATTTTCTTTGCGAGAAGTTCGACTCGATTGGTTGAATTGCAGAAAATGATGGATTGATTGATTTGTAGCTATGAGGAAAAATTTAGTTAGCAAATCTTAGTAAGGAAAATTTATAAAGTTAGTTTAAATAAAATAAATAATTACAAACCTTTGAAAATAAAGTGTTGAGACAATGCACTTTCTGCCGTTCTTCGACGAACGCATAATATTGTGTGACACCACGAAGTGTGAGTTCGTCCATTAAGTTGATCTCGTACGGTTTTACGAGGTATTTATCCTAAATAAAATGTATTAGAACCATTAGAATAACGTTGAAATATGTTAGGGAGATCATAACGCTGAATTTATACCTTAAAACTTTTAACGATCAAAGGAAATGTAGCGCTGTATAACATTATCTGACGATCTTTTGGGAAATATGTTATAAGTTGTTCGACAATTGGGGAGAATTCTGGGCTCAACAATTTATCAGCTTCATCCATTACGAATGTTGGACATTCGCTGAAGTCAGCCACGCCTTTTCCGGCCAAATCCAAAATACGACCAGGTGTTCCAACGACGATATGTACGATTTCAGATAAACGTAAAATATCGTCTTTTAACGTCGTTCCACCCGTCGTCACCATAACTTGCACTCCCATATGCTTTCCGAGATTTTTACATACTTGTGATGTTTGCAAGGCCAATTCCCTCGTGGGAACAAGTAATAACGCTTGAATTTTCTGTTTTTTAACATTAATTTTTTCTAAGGCGGGAATAACAAAGGCCGCTGTTTTGCCTGTACCATTTTTGGCTCTTGCTAGGATGTCACGACCAGTTAGGGCGATTGGTATAGATTCTTCTTGAATTGGCGATGGTCGTTCGAATCCAGCCTCAAATATACCCATCAGTAATTCGCGTTTCAGGAAATAGTCTTCAAATTCGTTTCCCTTTGTGGCTGTAACATCCTGTTTTGTGTAACCATCAAAGATATTTTTGGATAAATATAAATATAATGCTTCTCAATTTTTTTTTTTTAAACGAAGTGAAATACATACCTCTGTTTGCGGTCGATTATCTTTAGGGGGTAGCCGTAAATTCTTCTTCCAGCTATCATTTTCGTGACTAGCAAGAAAAATAAGGATCAATTATAAATTGATTAAATTTTATCTCGGAAAGCATTCATGTCTTGCTATATAACATAACTAGAAAACTAATTAATTTTTTTTTATAGATAAAAATTAAGATGTTCAAATATCAAACTAGTTGATATTACACGAGAAATTATCAATACTCGCGTCAATGTGTAATAAATGGTACATTGTGAGAAATATCGACTTTACCAAGTCTCTTCATGAAAGCATACCACTTTATACAATGAATAAAAGAGAATAAATAAATAATAAGTATGTAAAACTCACTTGAGATGATGTGGCTGTTGATGATGAGTAAGATTCCCAGCCATTTGAATGTTTTTATAATTTTTACAGTTACTATGATACAAAGAGTTATGTATTGTGTGTGAAATGAAACTTTTGAGTTATATGCGTCGGTTTTTTTTGTTTTTATGAAACAGCCGTCTGTCGGTATACTAGTCTTGATGCCTGAACGATCTCTAAACGAAGACTCCCACAAAAGAATTTATTTATTTATTTATTTTGTACACAGATGTAAAAGTTGAGTTTATATATAAGTTGCTTTTATAAATATGGTGATGCAGAACGAACTTACAAACCGAAAAAAAAGGAAGTAAAAAAATAGAGGAAAAAAAAGTTCGTTTTTATATACTTTTTTATTAGGTTGTAAGGCAAACTTGTCTATATAAGTATTATTTATTTTTTTTGTTAAGTTATCGTCTCCAAACAAAGGAAAATTGAAAAAACTTTATTAGATGGAGGTTTTTTTTTTTTCGTCGTAAAAGCGCTGATAAAAAGATTTATTAAGGAGAAAAAAAGTTCGGCAGGAAAAAAAAAAAAAAAATTATCCAATAATATAAATAATTGTATAAAAGTGTGGGTATTATGTATGGAGTTATGTCATAATGTTCTTGTCACGTTTACTCTTTCATAATAGAAGAGAACTTCTATGTGACACAATAATTGTTCTTGAATATCAGTTTGATTTTTCAATATAACGAATGATTTGTGTTGTGGCTTACAATCGTTAGGGTTTGGTTTTGATGGATAAAACGGTTAAATCTCAAAAATCTAAAAAAAGAAAATAATTAAATTTAGAAATATGTTTCCAATAGAAAAGATTTCTTTTTTTTCAACTTTTCAACATTGACAGGATGTTTAAAAAATCTCTCAGCATTGTGAGTTTCAAAAAGGCATTTTAAATGTTCAATCAACTTCCTGATAATCCGATTGGTGAACCAAATTCCTGGTTTGGATAAAAGTATACATTTTTTTCCTTTTTTAAAATATAAAAATAATGTTAAAGTTTTATAATCCGTTTCCTCGTTTTTATCGTAGTAAAAATTTAATTTTTACGCGTCAAATTTGTTATTTAAATAATCCAACTTCATTTCGATTTCATGGGATTAAAATTAAACCCAATGATTACTTTACTTCAAATAAAAAATTCTTGTTCTCAACTTCTGCCTCTTTATCAAATTCCAATACAATCGATTCTTCTCTACCTTCCACACCCACACTTCTACCTGAAACTTTACCTACGGATGATGTTAATTTTATAATATCATTTAATCAATCTGTCCTGGAATTTATGCATAATTCAACGGCACTTCCATGGTGGGCGACCATACTAATATCAACAATATTACTTCGTACCTTATTAACTTTACCCATTGCCATAATTCAACAAAAGAGTGGTGCGAGAATGATATCCTTGCAACCACAGATAATGGACATGTTTGAAAAACTCAAGCATGAAGTTGTAAGGGAGGTTAAAAACCGAAACGGAACTTATGAAGAATTTCAAAGGGAATTAACGAAAAGGGTTTGTCTAAAACTTTCATTTTCTCTTTGTCATCGTAATATTAAAGTTTTAATTGGTTTCTTCTCCCATATAGTTTCGAACAAAAATAAATGAAATATACAAGGCAAATAAATGTTCTCCCATAAGAAATTATTTACTGCCTTGGGTGCAAATACCACTTTTCATTAGCAATTCATTAACTTTAAGGCACATTGTAGATTCCGCTGCACATTCAAGTTCTGATCCAATTACAGGCTCGAACGCTCTTGACATTTCTACAATTACTTTAGATTCATTGACAAACGGAGGAACATTATGGTTCAATGATTTAACTCTATCAGACCCAACATTTATCTTTCCTTTGGCCATTGGGATTACTAATTTCTTTAATATTGAGGTAATTTAAGTTCCAAAAATTATCATTGTTCAGTTTTAACTTTGAAACTTAAATGTCTTTGTGCATTTTAGGTACATTCATGGTCACTTAAATCTCAACCAAGTCTTAGATCAAAAATATTAAAAAATTTGAGTAGGGTATTGTCTGTACTAATGATACCCGTTGCTTCTCAAGCTCCTATGGTAAATTTATCAATTTAAATTTATTTGTTGGTTTAATTGATCTAACATATTATATTCCTTCTTTTATTTTCATTTATTTTTGCCCAGGCAATATGTCTATATTGGCTATCATCTAGTACTTTCAGTATTGGACAAAATTTGATTTTTCAATTGCCTTTTATTCAAAAAAAATTTGGATTTTCTGAAAAGAAAATCGACATTTCATCATTGCCAAAACAAACAGAAAAGGAGAAAGAATCACTCGAGTCATTCAGAAAAAATAATGATTCTATAAAAAAAGATGCTTCTTTAAAGAAGAAAAAGAAATAAAACATTTTTACTAAAAAAAAGTTAAAAATATGCGAAATGGATGATGGTTTTGCCGTTTTAATCTTATTCAAACATTTTTGCAAATGCTTTCTTTTGTGCTTTTTCACGTGCCTGAACTTTTTGCTTAACAATAGTCAATTCTTTCATGATGGCAGCATCTTTAGGATTCAAATTATTGGCTTCCTGTAAATCTTTTATAGCTGCTTCTTCGTCATTCATGCCAACTTCAGCACTTCCGCGTCTATATAATGCCTTAGCCTTATCTTTTTCTGATAAATGTTCTGGTGACATCTTAAGTACTATGGTAGTATCTTCGACAGCAGCTTTCCAATCATGTAATTTAAGCGCGCACGCAGCTTTATTCAGATAACATGAAATTCTAAGCGAAAAGAATAATTTTTCGAGATCTTTTTCATCTTCCTCAAATACTGGCTTCTCATTCAAATAACGAATTGCCTAATTAAAAAATTTTTTTTTAAAAAAAAAAAAATTAGCTTTTTTTTATTAAAAATATATATATATATATATATATATATTACCTTTGCATATTTCTTACTTGCATTCATATGGTCTCCTTTTTTGAAGTAATCATTGCCAATTTCTTTAACTGTTTGTGCGATTTCTGATAATTTTTCGGGTTCCAAAGGTCCAAGCTCGTCCTCTAAAGTAGTAGAATTTTTTTTAAAATTAAAATTTAATTAATGTTCGAAAATTATTAAATTTAAATTTACGAAAATTACCGGGCCAATCCTCAAATAAGTCACCATCTGTTGGAATAGATATGCCATCGGGTTCCCCTTCTTTTAATTCTCCACAATTAGCAATTGTGACCGTCTTTGTCGGTTTGTCATTAGATCCCGTCGGAAGATTCTCAACAGTCCGAACAACTGATTTGCCAGCCAACACTCTACCAAACACCACATGTTTATCATCCAAATGCGTCGCCTTATTGAAAATCAAAAGTTATCAACATTATAAATCGAGGGGTAAAAATTCAAGATTGAATCCAAAGAATGAACGAAAAGGTGTTAATTACCTTTGCTGTAGTTATGAAAAACTGTGAACCATTCGTGTTTGCTCCAGCATTCGCCATTGATAACAAGAAAGGTTCATCATGCTTCACGTCAAAACTCTCGTCTATAAAAAAGGGATTCTCATTTAATAAACGCAAATGTGAATACCTTTTCGATCTCTCTTACATAAGGAAATCAGATATACGAACCATCGAATCTATCTCCGTAAATGCTTTCACCTCCTGAACCATCACCTTTGGTAAAATCGCCACCTTGAATCATGAAACCCTACTTATTAATGATAAGTGGATTAGAGATAAGTGCAAAAAATATTTATATTCAAACATCTATTTTCTTACCTTGATTACACGATGAAACGTGCAACCTTTATAATGTAAGGCTTTTTGGGAGATACCAAAGCCATTCTCTCCTGTAAATCAAGTAAAGAAATCAATTAACACAATTCGATTTGGAAATATGTAAAAAATGATTTTTCCATACCTGTACATAGAGCGCGAAAATTTTCCACCGTTTTTGGTGCAAGGTCGTCGAACTACATAATAAGATGTAAAAGGTCGCGTTAAAATAATTAAAATCGCGTTTGCTTAAATGAATTAGCGTTAGTATAAAATTCTACTAAAAAATGAAATACTAAATTATTTTGAAGAAATCAAATGATAGTGTTTCTCTATCACTATGAACGATAGATATCAAAGTATTGTTTTAAATAATATCTATAAATTTCTTCGGATATATGTATATGTTTTTTTCCTCTTTTTTTTTTTTTTTTTTTTTTTTTTTGTTATTTTTACATGAATAAAGTATTTAATTACGAGTTCGGCTAATAATTGCTTTAGGGGGAAAAATTTGTTCTTTTTCTAATTACCAGTTCGAAAACGATTCGACCTTCGCGCACACCATCAATATCAATATCGAAAAAGCAACGAACAGACATTGTAATAGCAAAATCGCAGGTAATAGTAGCAATTGCATTTTATATAATGAATCGGGATTTATTTGGATAGAATTTGCTAGAAATATTGAGAAAAGTAAATTAAACCCGATTAAGTAAATCATTTAATTTGGTAATTCAAGATTTAATGGGGTGATTTTTTTTTTTTTAAAAAAAAAAATAAACTGCTCTTTCGCTTAAACTTATTCTCCATTTTTTTTTTATTTTTTTTTAAAAAAAAATCACCCATTTTTGTAAAGTTCCTTTTCTACTTCACTATATACTTTATTTCTCCCTCATTTTTTCCGTATATTCATTCATTTAATCACTAAACCAATAATGAAATTAACTTCAGGATTGAGCAGAACGATAATGCGGTATCATAGTAGTAGATCAAGACCATCATGCTTATCCAATTTCTTTTGTAGGATATATGGTGTTTCAAAGACGCACGACACGTTAATATTACGATCAATCGAGTCTAAATTCAAAAGAAGATCAAATACCTCTTTAGCAACTTCCTTTGAAGGTCCGGTTGTTGATGAGACCAATTTGAGATCTCTAAGATCTAAACATGTATTTGAAAACACTTTGGTATCGAAAAGTAAAGATTTCAATTGACCATTGATTTTTAATTACTCTATCAAAAGGTTTAACATGATATACAATATTTATAAAGGCGGACCCGTTTCACGATATAATGCACTAGTTGCCTCGGGAATGGTAAGAGAGGATTCATTTCAACGTAGTATTATAAATATTTTACAAGATATGCAAGATCGACTATTGAATTATGATCCACCATTTGTCTCTGACGTGAGGGATGAAGTGAATGACGAGTCAACAATTTTCGGCAAAGTAATTAAATCCGTTTTTTAACTCGTTAGATCAAACATATTTTTGATAAAGTATATAAATATATATTTATTCACCTAATCTATCGTTTACTGTAGCTATCTAAATTGTTTAGCGCATCAATTAAAAACAGTTCTATTAATAGCCCAAAAGGATTATATTTATACGGAGATGTGGGAAGCGGAAAGACAATGTTAATGGATTTGTTCTATGATACGTTACCTCAGAAGCGTAAACGTCGTGTGCATTTTCATGCTTTCATGTTGGATGTACATGCTCGTATTCATCATTTAAAGCGAGCAAATTATGAAACTTATGATCCAATACCACCGATCGCGTCAGATTTAGCAAAAAATGCAATAATACTTTGTTTTGATGAATTTCAAGTCACAGATATCGCGGACGCTATGATTTTACGTCGTCTTTTCGATGAATTATTTAAACGTGGCGTGGTCGTCATAACGACTTCAAACCGTCATCCTGATGATCTTTATAAAAATGGGATTCAGCGAAAAAGTTTCATCCCATGCATTGAACTTATAAAACAAAGGTGTCAAATTCAATCGCTTGATTCTGGTACCGATTATCGTAAACTTCAAAAAGAAACGTCGGGTGCATATTTTTACCCGTTGAACTCTCAAACATCACAATCCATAAATACTATCTTTAAAATGTTAACGAAGAATCGTCAAGTTACCAAGAGAAAGTTGGAATTTCTCGGTAGACATCTAATGGTACCAGAATCTTGTGATGATATAGCAAAATTTACTTTTCAAGAATTATGTTGTCAACCTTTAAGCGCTGCTGATTATTTAGAATTGGTGAAATATTATAACACTATTCTTTTGACTGATATCCCACAGATGAATCTGGTATTGAAAAATGAAGCAAGAAGATTTATTACACTTATTGATGCTTTATATGACAACAAGGTTGGATCATCTATTTTAATTAATTTTTTTTTTGTTTGTTTTATTTTTTGTTGATATTGGATTAAACGTTAAATTTAATTATTATATAATGAATTTGAATCAGGCAACGTTAATTTGCTCGGCAGAAACATCAATTCATCAGTTATTCACGGTAGAATCCTCAACACATTCAGCTTTACTAAATCCTCAATCATCAACGCACCATCACACATTATTTGATGATGTTGAAATAGATTTAGAGAGAAAAGAACAAAATAAAAATTCCCCTATATTTACAGGTGAAGAAGAAGTATTTGCTTTTGAAAGAGCGATTTCAAGATTGATTGAAATGCAAGGAAAAGAATGGATGAGCAAAGTTATATTAAAAGCTAGATCAGGTGGAAATAGTAGTGTTGCTAGACCAACTGTGGAATATATGGGTTAATCTTAACTTTATTTAAAATTTAAATTTAGACTATTTATTAATTAATTAAACTTTTTGATTTGACAATTATTTATGCAAATCTCGATTTTGTTTTGCAAATCAATCAAATAAAGACTAACAATCTATTTTTAGATCAGCGATCAAGTCTATTTATATGTATGAAAGGTTCGTTGTAATTCCTTTTTCTTTTAACAAATTGTCCGAAGAAATAAATAATTATCAACATCAGAGCAAAGCAAAACTAATTTTAAACACGTTCAAGGATAACCGCGATACCTAAAAAGATTATTATATGTTTAGTTTATAAATTTTTTTTTTTAAAAAAACAAAAGGACAGGGGCAATTAATACCTTGACCACCACCAATACAAGCGGATCCAATAGCATATTGTATTTTGGTTCTATGCAATTCACTAACCAAATGCGCCAAAATGCGAGAACCTGACGCAGCAAGTGGATGACCCAAAGCGATAGCACCGCCATTTGCATTTGTAATGTTACGATCTAATTTTAATTCTTTTTCCACAGCTAAATATTGGGCAGCGAAAGCTTCGTTAACTTCAATAATTCCAATATCGGAAAGGTTCAATTTGGCTTTCTCTAAAGCCTTCCTTATAGCGGGAACCGGACCAATTCCCATAATTGTAGGTTCGACCCCCGTTGCGAAATAACTAACAATTCTCGCTAAAGGAGTTAACTTGAATTCCTTTACAGCATTTTCACCAGCAACAATTACCGCTCCGGCACCATCACTTATGCCAGACGCGTTGCCAGCGGTAACGAGACCGAGATCTTTTTTAAATACTGGAGGAAGCCTTGCAAGTGATTCTATCGTAGTTTTGGGACGAGGATGTTCATCCGTGTCAAATATTTCAATACCCTTTCTAGTTTTAATGTCAATAGGTACAATTTCTTGTTTAAATCGTCCGGCTTCATTAGCTATATTTGCGTAAAAAAAGAATATTAGAATAAAATGTATGCGTGAATAAAAACATTATAAGGAAACCATTAATATTTACCAGCCGCCCAACGTTTTTGACTACTTAACGCGTATTCATCCGCTTGCTCACGAGTAATCTTATATTTCTCGCCTAGGTTTTCAGCTGTAATACCCATCGGTGTTTTTGATGGATATTGATCAACCAAAGCAGCAGCCAACGAATCCTCTAACTTGAGATCAACCCCATAACGAGTTCCCCAACGGACGTCATTAAGGGTATAAGGTGATTTACTCATGCTTTCTGCTCCACCAGTTAATACAACATTAGCCTCACCAACTCGAATTTCATGAACAGCATTAATAACTGTTTGAAATCCACTACCACACAATCGATTTATCGTTAATGCTGGCACATGAACTGGCAACCCAGCACGGTGGCCAACATGACGAGCTAAATAAGCCGCGGTGCTATCGGTATGGCAAACATTGCCAAATATCACGGAATCGATTGGAACATCTTTCGGCAATGTATCAACAGCAGCCTTTGCAGCAATTCCACCGAGTTCAGTCGCTGTAAATTTTTAATCATTTTTTTAAATAAGAAACCTATAAAAAGAAAATACAGATCAAAATTAGAAATAATTATATACCTGTTTTATTCTTTAGCGAACCACCAAAGGCTCCAAAGGCCGTTCCTTATGTTTGTAAAGTGAAGCTAATGTTAAATTTACTTATAACAAAAAAATTTAACCAAAAAAAAAAATAAAAATAAAAAATCACTTTTCGCAGCTACAATAAATACATTCTGTGCCATTATTAATTTAACGGAAAAAATGAACAATGATGCATATAGGCAAAAAAAGAGATGTAACAGACCATGGAATCCGCAGCAACGCATTTAAATGGAAAAAATTTTAATTAGTGTAACTTAATTCAACTTTTTTGTCACACAATTGTTGAAAAATCATCGCAAGGTGTGTTAGTTTTTAATTTTTAAAAAGGAAGTTTCGCCACTGTTTTTTTTTTGTATTGAGCCCTGTGTTACTGTTGAAAAAGGCAGCATGAAAATATATTCTTTTGACTGAAATAACCCATTGTTTCTTAAGAGTGCTTGCCAACTTGATTTTCAGCAACATAAACCCCTCTCTTGCTGAGAAATATTCATACACTTAACGACCAGGTTAATCATTTACTACAGTAGTTAATAGTAAAATGGATTCCTCCCATAAAATATCTCCGATTGAATCCGCCACAACTAATGTTCTTACAGTGGTATTTATAAGAAAATAAAATTATTCTCGTTTTTTCAACTTATTTTTATATCTAATTAAATATTTTTTTTCTTAAACTACTTTCCAGTCGGACATAACCAAAGTGAGCTGGTGCAAGTACACTTATACTTGTTCTGGAGACAAACTCCACTCCTTTGTCACTTCCGCCCCACAACGGTCGTCGTCGTCCACAACAGAATTCGACAGTTTATCATGTATCTACGATCCAATAATCATTAATTATTTGGAATTATTAGAGAAGGGTATACCGTGTACGTGGAAATTTAAGGACGAAAAAGAAAATAACTTTGAAATAGTATTCACCGATAAAACGTTGGTCCGAGAGTTGTATGTCTTCTGGCTTGGAGATGCCGATCGTCATTCGGTCCTAAAAAATTTAACTCGGCTTGAGGGTAAGAAATAATAATTATATATATACATAAATTATTTGCTATTTTACTTCTCATACATCGTTTTGTGTTTTTATCTAATTTAATTTATAATTTTTTTTTTTTTTTTTTTTTTTAGAACTTGAATTTGTAGATTGCGGAGCATTTGACTGGGAGAGCTTTGAAAGTTCATCAACACAATTTGACCTTTTTATAAGGTCATTAAAAAATATAATAAGCCGGTAAAATATCTTTAAAACTCTTTACATCTTTTTTTTTTGAAATTCATCTCATAAAAGCTCATTTTTCAAAAATAACAATAGAAAATTAATAGGGAAAGGTGCAATGCCAATTGGGGAATGGCATTTATTTCCGAAATATCAACAAAAAGTGTACGAAAGGTAAGTTTAATTGGAATTGTTTTGATTCATTTATTGAATTTGAATGCCTTTCTAATTTTTTTTTTTTTTTTTTAAAAAAAAAAAATATTTTTCATCTAGCATACTGTCTTGTAAATACCATATTCATATCGTACCTACTAATTTGGTTATAAAGCCAGTTATCAAATATCAAGGTTTACGTCCATTATCATCATCTGATTTTTCTTCAACGTCAGAGGAAATTCAAGTCTTGTTGGTGCCCTCAGGAATTAGAGCAACCCTTTTACCATATCGTCGTTATGAATCTGATGACATTGCAGTTGTCTTGAACGAATTCAAAAATTTATTTGGGCTGGACTTGTCAAATCTGGAAGATGACACATCGATACCTGCATTAGTTCATATACAAATTACGTATGACAATACTACCAAAGACCTTCCATACCCTGCAAAGGGTATTTACGTTATAACTGATATCAATAATAGCTATCGTTGGGAGGCTCAAGATTCAGGGATGTTACCAGAAGTTTTTAGTAACGTTATCGAACAAAGGTATAAGCCAAGCGAAAGATGGCAATATAATGATCATTCAAAAGAGATTACGCAGATCTTGAAACATAAAAATCCCAATGATTTAAACGCTTCTTCTCCTGGAGTAGACACAACAATGACGCCTAATACTCCTGGAATGGGTAATGGTACATCAAGTGCCAGCTCGCCAGGGCATAATCTGAGTGCCAACCGGTCATCAAAGAAGAGGTCTTCGGGAGAAACAAAGGCTTATCCGTCGCCCCCGGATGTTATGCCGTCCAATGATGTTCAACAGCAGCTACAAAATGATGAAATATTACATCTACCTGATCTCAGTGCAGAATTGCTGGATTTTGATATTGATATCGAGGGTGAAGTGATGCAAGACGATTTCGATTCTTTTGATAAAAACGTAAGTAGTTATTTTATAAATAAATAATCTACTTGTTGTATTCAGAATCCCTAATAAGTTTACCGTTTCAATTTTTGATTAAAGCCGCAAACCATTTCTTCAACAATAAACTATCATACGGCTTCGCCTTATTTATCTACAACTAATGAAGACTCCCCATCTATTGTTCAAAATCAAACTTCTTTAGTCGAGCACAATCAACTAAAAATTGATCATGAAATTAAACTTGAGATAAGCAAAGTTAGATTCAGATATTGTCCTGAGGATTATTCTCCATTAATATTTCACAACGAAGTTGACATGTCTAAATATATGCCTGGAGGGAAGTTTTGTCATTCTACAAACCGTAAAAAACGAAAGCGAGATTTCTTATATACTCCAGAATATAAGCCTGCTTGGGTTGTTGAAGCTAAAAAATCCAAAACGTTAGATGATAATTCAAATCCTTTTTATAGGCAAAAAAAGCAAAAAGAGGCGAAATATGTATATTCTTCGAGCAAACGTAACACTAATCGTATTAGTGAGAGCAGTGAAAGTGAGTCGTCTGGAACTGACACAGAATCCGACAGTGATTCTGAATGGGACCCTCTTGAGATTGTTTCAAATCGTCGCAAGTTAGATTTCTTAAATGCTGGACGTCTAAGTATGATATTTAATGTTTACGATCTTCATGAGCGACGGCAACTTCGACGCTTGATAGATCGCGAAGTTTGCAATGATAAACAATCCAAGTTAGCATTACAGTTCCTTCGAGAACAAATAGTTGGTGGTTCGTATCCTTTTGGTGCAGGAATCCATGGTGATGGCGAGAGTACACATGAGTTTATCGAATCACGAAGGCGGATTTTGGAAATTCTTGGTGGTGGTAAATATTCTTCAAAAAATATATAGATACATATATCATTATTATTTATTATAGATTTTGATTACTTGAATTTTTTTATTTTCAATTTATTTAGATCTTCCTACATCTTCAGCTCTTCCATCAGAGCGGCAAGAAATCACTTTGTCATTAAAGAAGGCTGTTGAAGAAATTTCTGATCAATTTCCACTTTCAGAAAAGCATTCAAAGTTGTCTGTTATTGGGCCGCTGTCGGTTCAAGATTATTATAACTTAAATGGTAAATACATCTACTTTTTAATTTTTTTTATTCTAATTTCTAATTAAACTTATGTTATTTATATAAAAGCTACGGATAATAAGGATTCGGAGCCGAATTTCAAAGCGTTCAAGACACCTGATGTAATTGTATGCGCCGATGAATTTCTTATTGAGACTTCCCCGGAGATCGTCAAGTATTGGGATAAGCACAACCTCACTCCTTTTGCTGATAGAAAGGATATTAAATACTTTGTTTTCTATCCAGATAGTGAGTCACTAAAGTTTCATGTGGAAAATTTTTTCAACGAACTGCGAGTCCAGTATGAGGTATTATTTCAATTTTTTTTTTTTTATAATTATTTCTTTTTTTAAAGAGAATAAGGGTAATTTTAATTTCTAATCGTTTATATTTTAAAATTTATAATAAAGCTTCATTGTGTTTTAGGAAAACATGAACCTGCAACTATGAAAAGCTTCAAACAGGGCATGGTACCCATTCAATGTAATACAATTTTTTATGCTAATACTTTTGTTTTCAATAATTTTTAAAAAGTTCTTTAATTAACTAAGATCCTTATATGTACGTTCATTGATTAGTAGCGTCAAGTCAAGAAACAGAACTTGATCGAATGATTCGCAGTTATGAAACAACTTGTGAAAATTTTGGTATGTTGAATTCTTTTTTAAATACCAATCGATCAAAAATTTATGATTAATTTTTTATAATAACGTTTTATTAACTAGCACTAATTAACATTTATTATAAATAATTTTTAAGGCCGTTCATTGGCACAACATATTGCTAACTTTGGAAAAACGCAACTCGTAATATATCTTGTCAACCCATTTGATCATCCGACGGCTAGTTATGATATTTTTAAGTGTTATGCTAAACTTTATATGTCACTTGAAAATTCATTGAAATCTGTCTCAAAAAATGTATTGAACAATGTAATTCCACAACTCATACCGATTGATCATATTGTTCGATTCGATAAAAATTGTATTAGACCATTCAAACTAAGGCCTGTTCTAAGGGATTTGGCTTTCAGTGTATACACACGTTCAAAATCTTATCGACCACTTTTTATCTTACCTAAACCGTCTGTCGTTTCCGTCAGTTTCCAGTTGTCCAATATAGCTTCTCCAGTGAGAGATCTTGTTGAATACAACAAGATTTTACACATGTCATATGGTTTTAGCTTTGATCAACGCATTTTGATCATAGTTTGGGTTGATATGGAAGGTAAAAGGCTAGGAAGTTACTCAATTCCAACTTATGATAATAAAAATCAAATCAGCCTAGAATCTTTATATAGAGAAGCTTGGAATAGGACCTGCTCATTTAGAAAGCACACTGGTGGTTTTAGACAAGTTATAATTACCAAAACCGGCATTATGAAGAAAGAAGAAAAAAATTGTAAATAATAATTCTCATTTAATCTAATTATTATTACTATGAATTATAATTAATAATGTTCTTTTACTCTTTTTTTTAATATAAATAGTATGGGTTGAAGTCACAAAAGGAATAATGCCTATCTTTAGCATTAATCTAGATACGGCATTTGAAATTAAGCCGACGCTGGATGAAAATGTGCAGAATTCAAAAGTATTTGGTATGGTTTTAAGTAATCCTATTCCAAGTAAAGACTTTCGATCTGAAATGACGGGCTTTTTGATTGAAATGAACAATAATGAGGCTGTATCTAACACTATTCAGGTAAATACAATTTATTTAATATTATTTCCAAAGAGAAAATTTTTTTTCTAATCTTAAAAAATGATGTTTTTTTATTGTTCTTAAATAGGTGGATCTTTTGTACAACCCAAGAACTGATAACATTAAAAGTACTAATGTCATGTGGGATGTACTCAATCAATTCCATGTACTTTCTTTCATGGAGGTGGCGACAACTCGCAAATGTTTACCAATTCATGTATTGATGGTAGAACGCTGTTGCAGAGAATATTTGGGTGTTCCCACTTAACGATAAATCAATAATACCAATATAAAATTTTGTATATAGAATATTTTTATTGTTTACATCAAATCTTTTTTTTGTTCTAATTTTTTATTTTATTTTATTTCATTATTTTCCCTTTATATTTCTTTTATAATATCTTGTATTAAAAAAAAAATTCGTTTCAACATAGCAAAAACAAAAAAAAATTTTGTATTTTTTTTTTTTTTTTTTTTTTTTTGATTTTTTTTCGTACATTATGTATATATAATTTTTCTTTAGATGATATTTTTTTTATTAGTTTATTCTTATTACTTATTCTATTCTTCTCTCTCTTTTTTACATTAAATATATATATATATATATATATTGTTTTGATAAATCAATCCGTTTATTAAAAAATTCATTAGCATTTGTAAAGGACAATTGATATAATCACCATATAATTTAAAATAATTTTCTTATATATTTTATTAATTAATTAAATTTTACTATTAAGGGTTTTAGTATACTCTAAAGAACATGTATTAGATGATGGCATATCAACATATCATAAATTGAAATAAAATATCTTTATATATTATTAGATTAGGTTTAATTTTTTAGTAATTAAGTAATATAACAATAAATAAAGATTTGTATTTTGATATTTATACTACTCTCTCTTAAAATCATTTATATAATGTAATTTAAAAATTATCTATGCTATCTCGTAATATATAGCAAAAATTTCGGTATACAATATTTTAGTTTTCAATCAACAAAAAAATATGATTCTTAACCACCAATACCTTTTGATAAAAACAGCAATAAATAATGTTCCTTGATTTATTTTTTCAAACTGATTCATCCCCCCCCCCCAAAAAGAACATGCAAAATTATATATTTTTACATTGAAGAATTATTAAAATCATAAAATTGGTTTAATAAGCCAATTACACCATCATTACGTGGGTTATCTTCTTCATTTGACTCATTTAATATTCCAGCACCACCCATCCATGAGTCACCCAAGTCACTGACATAATGTTCGTTCAATGGCTTTGAAGGTGGCGGATTACCACGATAAAGTCCGTGTGGTGCATGAGATGGTCCCGCATGTGTCTGGTAATCCGAATTTAAGTCACCATTACCACCGACTCCTTTAACTCCGGCATGAGAAGTATTATTCGAGACGTTAAAATGAACATTATTATTACTATTGCGCTTGCCACTATTATTTGTTTTAAGAATAGAATCCACAATAGACATGCGCGCGGCATTAGGACGCTCCGAGTGAACTTGGTTGTTAAATTCTGTTAAACGGCTAAGGTAAAGAGATCCAAATGGGTCTGTTGGTTCCCAATCTGGATGATTCGCCTATAATGTTAATGATAATTATTATCATAACATTCTTATTATTTTTAAATTGTGAGAAAAGACCATTTTTTATTTTACCTTAAAATTCAAAAAACTTTTTTCCATTTTACCATCTTTCGAAAGATAATACTCATTTTCGACCTCTGATGCTGGTGCACCATACTACGAATGATTATTAAAAATTTATATTAATAAACTTAATACTTCAACATACATACATCATATAATCTACATTATATATACCTTAGCATTGCCATGTCTTTTAAAATCGAAAACCGCAAAACTGCAAACATAACCAACACCGTCTACATGAACAGTAAATTCACGAAAGAAGTCTATAATTTGCTGTACGATAAAGGTTAAGAGTTAAGGAAAGAATGTATATCTCTCTTTCCTACTGTCAAATTAACGCGATAAAATAAGGATATGACTACAATCTGCAAGAGAATACCAGAGCACAAAAGGAGTGAAAATAACACTAAATATCTCTTGAATATACAGCGTAACTTTGAGTTCGAATAATTGAATAAATTCTCTTCGAACCTAAAAAAATAAATGATGATAATATTTATTATACATAAAGCACAAAATTTTTAAATATCCGCTAAAATATAAAAAATTCACCTCGTCTGTGTGTAAACGTCCTCTCCAACCATCAGGAGAATAATGTGTATGTTCAACTACTTGTTTCAAACTATCTTCTGGATCAAAAACAAGATGATCATCAGGAATCGTATTACGACTAACCGCAAATAGTGGTACCAAAACACTAGTATAAAAGAAAACTGTACGTCCAGGCGTAATTTCGAAGCCGAGAAATAGCTCGGGATCAATATAAGATGCCAAGATTAATACGGCTGTGAAAGAACCAATTATAAAAAGTAAAAATCTTTTGTAGAAGGTTTAAAGAGGATTAATATATTATAAACTGTACATTTATGATAAATTATAATATATTCTCGAATTACCTTGTAACCATTATAGTTTTTGCTTTAGGGAATTGATCAATATATTTATTTGCAGGTTTATAGCTATTATGTAGCCTTTGGAGAAATAAATGAGGAAGTTCATTAAATTCTCTAAATTTCCACCGTGCAAATTGTGTCCATTGACGCGAACCAAAAAGAGAGCCAGGGTCTGAACGATATTCCTAAAATTTTTTTAAAAAAAAAAATTATCAAAGTTTAGAGATAAAAAAATAAATTGAGAAGTATAATTAAATTAAACTATAAAATTAAGCTAACCTCAAAATATCGGAAAAAGAAAAATACAAGTAGGTAAATTATTATAAAAGGTGCCAATACTAAATTAAGAATTCCCATGAAAACAATTCGGTTACGTAAACTTAATAATTAAAGAAATAAAAAGAATTGTTTATATGTTAAAATCTTTATACAATAATTCATACCATATTAAATAAATTCAGACGTACCTATGAGCTAGCTCTTTTCTTTCCACATCTTTAACATTTTTAATGAATTGTTTCCTAACTTCTCCGTGATCATTAAAAACATAGTTCATCACACACCAATTTAAATTCCATTCCATAGTCTTCGTCAAAAAATTTTGCTTTCTAAGAAATGGAATCGGTATCGTTAAATTTAATATATTTTTATTGAAAAGAGCTATCAAATAATTATCTTGGCGCATTATTCTATTGGTAATATTATGAGCATCTAAACGTTGTTGTGGTTGATCATTAACTTGAAAACTTGTTATTGGGTTACTATCTCTTATTTTAATTATCTGTGAGACTACTCTTTGCCATGATACAGTTTGTATATCCTCCTAATAATTACAAAAATTTTGTAAAGATTAAAAATATAATCATTAACCACTACCGCACTTTTTAAAAAAATAAAATATAAATACGCACATCAGGAATGTGAAGAAGGTGCGTATAAAAATTATACATATCATTTAATCCACGATAATCTAATACAAATTTAATAATTGTCCAGATCCAAAGGCCAGTAGATATAACGAGAAATAACTTTGTCCATCCGGATAATCTTTAGGTAAAAAATGATGAAAAAATAAAGAAAATCTTTGTATAACTTTAATATCTTGATTGACTTACTTTCCAATACAATTCGGTATTATAACTTGAGATAAACTATCACTGTGACGAACTAATGAATAATCTACACATCCAAGCAAAAAAGTTGAAAATCCAAGCACAAATCCCATAGTTCTAAACATCAAATAAATAACGTCATCTATTTATTCTTTTTTTTTAACAAAAAAGAAAAGGAACTTACAATAAATTTAGAAATCGACTTAATAAAATACAATAAATCCCCTTTCCAGTATAATAAGAATAAACCTGGACTCGTATAATAAGAAAGAATAATTAATTAATTACATCTACTTAATTTGAAACGTAATGAAAATTATTATTATTATTTTTTTTTTTTAAAAAAAAAATAAAAAGAAACCCCCAAATGAATATTCTTGATATGCTTACGTTTGCAAGAAATAAATCGAGATTTTCTACGTTAACCCATTTCCACATAGTCAGCTCTATATCATCCGCCCCCGGCTTCGGGTTTAATTTCCTATGACGTTGAGCGGGTTGTGAAGGCAACTCTACAATTAATGAAGGAGGAGCCTCATTACTATCTTGATCGGAAAAATGTTCTTCATGTTCATCCTCAGGTAACTGTTGGTAACGTTGTTGCCTTTGATTTGATATAGGTGGAAATGACGGAGTTCGAGAAGGAATTGTCCGCGGTGAGGAGATATTTTGTTGTAATACATAGCTATTTGACGCTTCTTCTTCATAATCATCTTCATTATCGTCCTGAAAAGCAACATATGGAGCATCATTTGCTCGAAACCGGTTAAAAATTGACTGATCAGTCATTTTTGACGCGAAATAGAAAAAAACGATTTCCAGTATGATTTTTAAGAGCAAACTGCAACAAAAATTCACATGAATTCATAATGGCTATTGTGGCACAACTGTGGCTCATTTTTGCATTTGAGGCAATGTCATCATTTTTTGCATTTTTCACGTGACATTATATTGTATTTACCATTTAAGGAATAGATCATCCCGCATTACAAAATGATTGACATCAAATTTTTCTTTTTGAAAAGGATGATTTGGATTTAAATAAGGAAAAAAAAAGAATTCTTTCAAAATAACCTTAATTTATATATGGTTACATATTCCGGGAGTTGATGTTAAATGAATTATAAAAGAATTTTAAATAATAGATGTAGATAATTCTATTAAAATGTTAAACCTTTTATTTATATTATAATAATCAATAAAATTAAATTTTCATTTTTTTGTATAATTTTTAATTTTGCATAATATGAATTTGTAGACTCTAATATATATCAATAGATTTTTATAATAATAAAGCAGGAAGTCGATTATGACTAAATAATATAATTATATTTTTTAATCATAATCAGTTTAGACTAGCTTATTTAATAATAAAATAACCTAGATATAACTAAATAATTTAGACATAGCCAAATAATTTAAATATAACTAAATAATCTGAAGTTATTAATCTAAATATGATTAAATAATCTAATTAAATAACTTAAGAGTGATGATTTTTTTATACCATCTTATTTTTCCTACTATATTCTTTACCTTTAAAATCACTTTTCTTTATCTTTTTCCTATTTATTATTTGTAATCATGTGAT